AACAACGTAGCAGCGCCGCATCTAGTGGCTTCAACTGGATAGACTAACAAAAGCATTATAATGCAGCGACACTTACATCCTCATCGCATCTCATGCGCCACTGATAAAGCTGCCTGACGCACGCCTAAAATTCGAATGCAACGTTTTTGCATTCGAATGTGGATTTTTATTTTCAATTCGACGAATATTCAAAATTCGAATTATTTTTTGACTGCCCTAGCTCAGTTGTTTGTTTTATCTCTGTTATAGTCATTTGAAAGGGTTTATGCATAATATAAGTTGTCAATAATAATACTGTTGGCAGGCTTTATCACAAATAAAATGATGGAAGATTAGCAATTTGAATATTTTAGTGGTTCACAATTACAGTACCTGGATTTCTTTACCATGTAATGGTAGAAAACAAATGTAATCTTGAAATCTTTGGATTGGGGTATTTGAAGATATTTGTAAATATGAAGTTTGTGAATCTATAGTGTCAGGACGAATATTCTGAAATGTGATGTGACTGTTTTTTTTTTACATTGTTTATTGTAATTCCAGTTCATGAGAATGAGTTTTGTTTGTTTCTATATCAAACTATTTAGCGAGGTTTCATGAGAATAACATCCTGCAAGTCTTGAAATGTCATGTGATTTGATTGAAATTGCTTCAATTTAAACAAGAAGACGATTAGATAAAATTACAATCCAAATGATTCAAACAAGCAACAAAATGGCAATGTATTTGTTTTCCCCTCAAAGCAATTTTTTATGATTTTGCCTAATTGAAATATGAAGCATGTTTGTGATTGACAGCTGAATTGTTTTCTGTGGGTTGTGAATCTCTTGTTCTGTGTCTGCTGTGTAAATGTAGCTTGTTGAATCTTTGAATGTGGCTCAGAGTAGTCCTTTTAGCTACAGGAATTATGGGAACACTTTACACTGAGGTTCATTAGTTAACATTAGTTAACTACTTTAGTTAACATGAACTAAGAATGAACAATACTTCTGCAGTATTTATTAATCTTAGTTCATGTTAATTTCAACATTTACTAATGCATTATTAAAATCCAAAGTTGTGCTTGTTAACATTAGTTAATGCACTGTGAATTAACATAAACTAACAGTGAACAACTGTATTTTCATTATTAACAAAGATTAATAAATACTGTAATAAATGTATTGTTCATTGTTTGTTCATGTTAGTTAATACATTAACTGTTACCGGTAAGTGTTACCGGAATTCTAAATGAAAAAATATTTTTTATGCATGGTCTGCAGTTGTATTTTTTATTAGATTTGTTGAATGTCTGATTTCACCGGAGATTTTGAAGCTTGATTAGATTCATGGAGTTTTTAGAGATGTTTCACATGGCTGTTGTTTGTCCTATTATTCTCATGAACTGGAATTTTATTAGTTTATTTTTGAAATTGGAATAAAATGATGTGCACCATGTGTTATTATAGACCAATCTTTTGTCAATGTCACACACCAAACTGGTGGCAAAAATGACCCAAGTATTTACACTCAAAAGTCTGACTCAAAGCTCAGTGCTATCCAGTGAGTACACTCTAAAAAATGCTGGGTTGTTTCAACCCAGCATTTTTTAGAGTGTACAGTGCTGCTCTCTCCCAAAGATACCATACCTACTGTACGCTAGAAGCCTAGCATCTTTACTGCCATCATGTGCTGCAGACACTGGGGTTGGTCTATAGAAATATACAGTAGATATATAATAAAGCATGCTTCAGTCAACAGCCTGGAGAGAAGTCAGATGATATGTGCTTTAGGATCTCTAGACCAGGGCTTCTCAACTGAGTCTCAGAGCTGTTAGGGAAATAAAATCAGGTAATAAAATACCAATAATAAAATGCAGCCAGTGGAAAAAATGTATCAACCTTCTCATATTTTTGTTGTTGACATCTGACCAACTCTTGGGTATTTTGGCACATTTATTAGAGGCCAACAAGAGATGCCTTCACAGACCATGAACAAAACTACAAAAGGAACAAAATACCACCCAGACTACATTAAATAAATGGCTAAATTGCACTTCTGATGAACAAAATTATCGATTTTCTTATTTAGCCTATGTCATGTTAAAGGGATCGTTCAACCCAAACATTTACATGTTGTGATCATTTCCTCACCCTCAAGTTGTTCCAAACCTGAATGAGTTTCTTTCTTCTGTTATACATAAAATAAGATATTTTGAAGAATGTGGGTAACCAAAGAGTTTCTGGTTCACATTGACTTCCATAGTATGGAGAAAAAAAATAATATAGAAGTCAATGGGGACCAGAAATATCTTCTTTCGCATTCAATAAATGTTCCAAAATAGTTTGGTCGGACATCAACTACAAAAATGTTGTATGTATGCAGTTCAAGGTCAGAACATTTTGTTCACCTTTGTACGATAAACAATTTTGATGGCCGCCACGTAATGTCTGGCGTGAAATCTGAAGCAGTGCTTGCTGAGACTGAGAAGTGCTGGCCTAGAGTGTGCAGTGCATGTGTGCTGCTCTTATAGTGTGCTTCTCTCACAGGGATGATAGCGTGCTGCATCAGTTCTGCTGTCCTCCGTCTGGAAGCAGCAGTCCTTCAAGATAGCAGGAACGACAAGGATCTGTCCTCTCTCACAAAGCGTTCTTCCAAAAGAGCTCCATGCGTCCATCCATGCATCTGTGTGTCTCTGGGGGAATAAACATCACTGTGTGTGCCGTTGCACTCACATGCAGGACAGACGGAAATCTTGCTGCAGTAGTTCATTTACAAGTGCAGTCTATAAGCGCTGGAAGAACACAACTGTAGCGCTAGAACTCATGAATACAGTCGAGTGTTGAACCTCAAACGTGTACCTCTAATACAAAGATGCAGAACTGAGTGTATTTTGCACAGTGTGGAAGAGAACTTCATTCAGTTCTCCGAGTGATGCATGAAATTAAAAAGCAATATCTATTTAAGAATCGATGACTGTATTGCAGCTGTATTTGCTTTGCCTGATATCAGTAGCTTATTGTCTTGACCATGTAACAAGATTCAAATGAAAAGTTTCTTCTTGTATATGATTATTATTTTTGCATTTATTATTGTTATTTTTTTGGCACTCAATATCTGTTTTTCTTTCATTTGTGCATAATATTTTAGTTATTCTTGAGTGAATAATAAGGACTGTTCAGATTGGCATACTAACTTCTAAGTAAGTGCTGTATACTGCTTATGTTTTTTTTTTTAATGTGAAACTTTATGCAATATGTATGTCTTAAACATTAGTATGCTGCATGGTTGCCACATGACCTCATCACATGGTATCATCTCATCATATATTTATGTTGCTTTTCTTTTTTTCTTGAACAAATTAATGGCTGATATTACTTCCTGTTCATTTGTCACACTGTAAATGAAAGGTGATGGCTGGGAATAGCAATGTGGCAGATGTTGTACTGTAAGCCAAGTTTATGTGTATAGAGCTTTTCACAATACACATTTCAGAGCAGCTTTACAGAAAATCATGATGTTGATGTTAATGTTTAATATCTTATTCTTACTATCTTCCTTTATAGTCACATTTAGCAGATTAGAGCTGGTCGATAATTTAGTTTACATTTTGAGACGATACAAACAATTGAGCAATGCAGACATTTGCTACAGTGTATAGTAAATATCACCCTACATGAGTACACTGTAGCATAAAGAGACATAGTTATATAGCCAACTTTATATAAAGAGCTGGCTGATAATATAGTTACATTTTGTGATGAAATAAAAATAAATAAATATGACAGTGCCAACATTCAGGATGCTGAGATTCATACTACATGCATACAGGATTGGCGGGTTCAGAATGACCCACGGTTTACTGTTGCATGTGTGAAAAGCCCTTGTCCTGCCTCTAGTGGACGACGCAGACCATTACATCAAGATGTTGGCTCAATCCCAGTTCACATGCTTTTCTAAGTATGAAAAGTGTGTTATGTGCTGATGTATATTTGAAAATTCTCCAGCAGCGGCATGCTGTCCAAGAACCTTTGGTGTACTGTTTTCAGTATCCTATGATCTTCTGGCCTAAATGAATGAACATAGTGTGATATTGATCAGGTTATCACATTTGGTGGGAAGCAGGAGTTGTACTCTGTCCAGCAGTCAGTAGTAGGCAGTGGCCTGAAGCACGATCATGTCCTTCTTGTTAGCAGGTCCCTGTGCTGGCGCGAGTTTCCTCACAGTCCAAAAGACATGCTGCATTGGTGAATTGGACACGATACATTGCCCACAGGTGTGAGTGAGTGAGTGAGTGTCTGTGTTAGGCATGGGCCGATTACCGGTTTCAAGGTATACCGCGATTTGAAAATGTCACG